AGGTGCGATGTTTGTCCGATGTTTGTGCTAGGGATGTTGAAAGTCCCCCTTGCTTGCCCCCCTCGGATTAACACAGGGTAACCCGCTTGTGTGAGCGTTGAAATGGGCAGAGCAGGTCAGCTAGCGAGCAGGTGACAGACAGCTAGCAGATTCGTGTGTGTTTGTTCGTTACTCTGGGTAAATTCAACCTTTGCTCGTCACTCCCCTTGCTTCACTGAGAGATAAGCCTTCTTTTAGTCTGTGGTTGATTTATAAATAAACAAATTAACAGCAAATATAAATAAATAAACAGTGACATGAGTAGTGGGGGCGACTCAGGGCGGAGTTTGAGCCCCCCAGCTTGTTCCCCGTCTTCTTCCTTGTGTCGGAATATGAATATCAGTACAACTGCTTCTTATGTCATCTCCCATATCAACACTATCAACTACAACTCCACCCTCTTGTCAACTGCGTTCAACGAAATATGATATAGGATCAATTTTCAAACGAAAACAAATCACATTCATATTTATGTCTTGAAAGTGTTAAATCGATGTCTGTTCAATCCCATACACTATTGTTATCCAGGCATCATACATTCAGCCAAGTGTATATTTCTTTGGACGAAATCAAATATATGGAAGTAGCAGTGCTTCCTATTTCTGTAACCTCCAATTCCTGTAAACATACAAACGACATACCCTCTAATGCCTGTAAACATATATACAAACAACATACAGTCACATTCCTGTAAGTATACCATCGACATACAATGACCTTGTGTGGTCGGAGTTTTTTTGTTATAACCACCAACAACAACCCCTCTTTTTCCCCTCCAACCCCACACACACACACACACCCCTCCACCCCCTCCTCCACCCTTCGTTCGTCCTTATTCATATACACCTCAGAAAGGCCACATTCCACCACTTGCTATATTCATAAATTTACAATTTTCAAAAGTCGTCACCTGTTTTAACTTTGTAATATTCGTATTTGGTTATACCGTTATAGGCATATTCTGAAATGCAGAAGGTGAGATCGATGAACCATAGGAACATATATTTGCCTGTCCACATCAACAGCCACTGACGCTCTTCGTCAAGTAATATGACTCGCGACCATTTTGAAAACCATTCAGCATTTTTAAATCGAATTTGTTTTACAAATTCATCAACATGAGATTAATATCATCCACTGATAATTCAAAAAAGGGTGCATTGAAGGTCGAGCTGTACGTAATTATACGGTGCTTATATACTCATGCCAATAATGGTTGTCACCCCCTTCAATGTTTTTAATTGTAGTGGGGGTGGGGGTGGGGGGAGGGGTTGACAACCATTATTGGCATGAGCATATATACAATCTGTAACAAGTCATGATGATCACCAGCACTTAAATTGCAATGTCCTTCACTCAAAAATTAAAAATTCATCCGAATCGGAAAATTAGAACTGAATATAATTTAATCGTATCCTTTGACCAACATTTGTTCGTCAGAAACAACATAATTCTATAGTGATGGATCAGCTATAAAATCAGCGCTTCTTACTGATCGATCGGCTCTCGTGCTGCTTCACCTACAAGCCACCCCCGCAATGTCGTTAATATAGTATGTTCTGTCATGAAGTCGTTGAAAACAGGTTCAGTATAGGTAATAATACAGTCCATCCCTTGTATGCTACACGTCCGTGTTTGACATATAAATCACTCACATCTCTGTATCATACACCTAACTCACACTTTGATGTTTTGCAAACCCACAAAGATGTATTCTTAAAAAGGTAAAGACGTTTGCAAAACGAAATATTCCATTCATTCCAAAAATTATTCAGTTGTATAAGCCAAATTTGACATACTTGGTAAATGTTTATTTTGTGAGAAAAGGTAAAACGCAATATGTTATATCTTTTGTCGGTCAGCTGATGTGAACGTGAATTTAAAGATGTATTTTTTAATGTCAAAATCGAGTTGTATGGCTATTTTTACGACGCAGAATCTTGTTAATTTCTCTTATTTGTGTTTGATCCATTCTTGTATCAATAGTGACAGATTATGTAGGTTTTAAGAAAATCTGAATTGCAAAATATTCACACCCCGTGGTATATTCTTTTTTAAAACACCTCGTGACGTGTAAATAATGTCCCTCCATTTGTTACTGATCTTCTAATGGGTTCGAAAACCGCAGAGTTGGATCGTGAGAAACATTGGGGTTATCGAGTACCCACTATTGCAGCGGAAACTGTGTTATCGGGGAGTCCTAAGTGTGGGACGGGGTAGCTGAATGGTTAACGCGTTCGCATGTAACGTCAAATACCCGGGTTCTGTTCTCAAGACGGGTGCAGTGTTTACAGCATTTTGATAGCAATTGATGCACTGTGACAGAGCGATGTTAAAGGGTGTGGAAGGGGGAGCGTATATTGTATTGTCCAGAGTGTGACTCCACTTACTGAACCACATTCACACACAATAATATATACTAACATACATTAAGACTCATCCCCATACTGAAATGGAAATTATTAAAAACAAAATCCATTGTTTGAACTGCATTAGAGGGTTTTATTTGGCCACCTTGATTATTTACGGGCGCTCGGACTGATACACGAAATATATTTTCCATAAAAAAATATCTCATAAAAAAACAATCTGATGCCATATGACATATTGATCTTTTCGACCATTACTTATTCGATCTACTGATCACTAAATGTCTGTGTTCCAGGGGAAAATTAACCTTTACTCAATTGCCTAAACGCCCGAGAACTGACAGGGCGATTGAAAGCGCCCGACGATGAGCTTGACTTACTGCTGCAGGCGCTTTACAACACCATGGTTTCCGACACGTAGAAGTGTTACCTAATAAATCATTGCTATCTTCCAGTTCACTAGCTGTGAATTGATTTTAAAATTCCGACACAAATCCCATAAATTTCTAAAAAACATTAACATAATAGCTGTTGTCAGGCCCATACGGGTTGCAAGTGTTCATTTTACATGCTTTTGTAAGTAAAATACTGATTTCAGTCTAGAACATCTTTATTTGCATTTACTTTTCTTAAAGTCGTCACAAAAGAAATAAAGCTGAGAATAAGTACACGCCGTCTTGGCACGGGTCAATAACGACATGAAAAGCCAGTCAGCCGATAGAAATACAGTGTTCATTTAGGTGCATATGTCACAGATAAAGGAAGCGACATATGAACTTTTTCCTGTTTTGTGAAATAAAAACTCGAGGACAAAGCGAGGGATCTGGTCACACAGTGGGCGAAGAAGTCACGAGGACCTACACTGAGACTGACTCTGCAAGTTTCTTTCATTGTCGCAGCGTAATAAGGTAGGGGGACAAGCTAATTACTACTAATCCGTCACAAGGCCCCTTCGCCCACACGCTACAGGTAAACATCGAAAGTCTTTGTTACCGCGCAGGTACAATGATAACATCAATTTGGCCGTACTAAAGCGTTACAGTTTAGTTATAATCGGCTGTACACACATAAGCAATGTACCGTCCACGCTAATTGATGGGGGATTCTTCTCCACACCCCGTCTGTCCCTCCCCTATGACGGACTAGCCAACCCACACAGATCAGGGCTCTACCCATGTTTTTTGTCTGTCTATATGCCCGCATCGAGAAGTTTAATTCACTGGACAAAAGATCCATTTGTCAAAGTCGACAAACCTTTTCTCATTATTTTTACAAGGCTGTCTAAAAGTGGCGTATTATGTGTTTACTACGTTTGTTGTCAAATTTTTAATTTGGTATTTTAATTATATTGATTAATTACATACTTTTCACCTGAAACTACACAGATGGAGAGACTAGTATAAAACAAATCGGGACATCCTTTCACCTGAAAGTAAACAGATGGAGAGACCAGTATAAAACAAATCGGGACATCCAATCACCTGAAAGTAAACAGATGGAGAGACAAGAACAAAAGAAATCGGGACAGCCTAATAAATTAGTTTTCTTCTTTGTTCTGTGTATTTATGACAGAAAGGATCTCTACCACTGAATGTGTTCCTGAGTGAATGGTCACGATGGGAGTGGCACAACACAGGAGGTTCTCGGTATCTCATGTAACTTTAACTCTATCTGAGGAGGAAAGTAGCCTCAGTAGATCCCATCTGTATCAAGTTAATACCAGTGGTACAGCTTATATATTTAATGACGTGTCCTACTTTTATTAAACCCCTCGCTGTATTTCTATTTCAAATGTACAAACGACGTAGGTTTCACCTGCCATGATAACTTTGTTTCTTTATTGTTTTACGCTGCACTTAGCAATATTCAAGCTGTATGGCGGCGGTCTGTAAATATTCGAGTCTGGACTAGACAATCCTGTGGGAAACGGCATGAGCATCGATCTACACAATTGTGATACGATGACACGTGTCAACCAAGCCAGCGAGACTGACCACTCGATCCCGTAGTCGCCTCTTACGACAAGCATTGGTTGCTGAAGATCAATTCTACCCGGATCTTCACGGGCTCATATTAAAAGTGCATATGGACTGGGATATTATAATCACACGCCCCCGTAAAACGTCCATAACCTCTCTCTCATAGTTAAGAGAGATGAAACTCTAGATAGCTGAAACAATATAAGGTGGGGTCTCCCTTCAGTTGAACAGGTTTGACCTCATATCGCCTACACCACTATTTCGCCTACAGCTTATATAAACATCCTGTCAAATCCCATCTACCCTGTTCAGGGAATGGAATGGCCCTATTCCACTGTAGTTTCATCGAATGCAACTAAATGGGAGAGAAGACTATTGAGAAGTTACTATTGATACATGATTTGTTTTAAGTATACAGTGAAGGATATTAGTGAAGGGGGTTATGCTTACCCCTGGGTGAGATAATCCCATTGTTTTGATTAGAATTAATACTTCAAAAGATTTATCTTATAAAAGTAAAAAGATTATATGGACCCAGACCGATGATGGCCGAGAGTTCCTCTGTGTAGACGACGGTGAAGATGACAGACTTTTGCTGTTTGCTACAACCGAGATGCTGGAATTATTGAGCGACGCTGACATTCTCTTTATGGATGGTACATTCTTTGTGTGTCCTAACCTGTGGCTACAAGTGTACATCATTCATTGTCTGGTGAATGGTAAAATGTTTCCTGTCGCTTTTGCGTTGCTTCCCAACAAGACCAAGCGGACGTATGTTAGGCTTTTCACTTTGCTGAAGGATATTGTTGTGAGACGACTTGGCATCGAACTTTCACCAGAAATATTCCAGATCGACTATGAAGCAGCAGTTATCAGTGCTATTAGTGAAGTCTTCCCCGACAGTTCCGTCCGAGGTTGCCTATTCCATTATTCTCAAGCTTTGTGGCGTCAAGTTTTGGAGAGGGGACTGTCTCGCGACTACATGAACAACCCAGCAGTCCAAGCCCACGTTCGACGAGCAGCTGCTTTGCCACTCCTTCCCCTGAACCAGGTCCAAGATGCTTGGTTTGAAGTCATCGAGCAGTCTCCCGACGGCGACAGAGTAGCAGCCTTCAACGACTACGTCACCAGCACCTGGGTTGAAGATGATGCCAAGTTCCCAGCACACATCTGGAACCAGCACGAAAACACAGGCCCGCGCTCAAACAACCATCTTGAGGGATTCCACTCTGGCTTGAAGAAACGCATACCCCGATCACACCCCAACATCTACCAATTCGTAAAGGAGCTCAAGAAGATCGAGAAGGCAGACAGGCGCACAAGACGACAGTTTGGACTTGGAGGAGCAAGGAGACCACGAGCACGTGTAGACCGTGATCGAGATCAGAGGATCGAGAGACTCAAGGTGCAGCTTTCCACCGGTGTGAAGTCTGTGATGCAGTTCCTTGATGCTGTTGGCCACATCCTCAAGCTAAACTGAGAACTCAATTCAATCAAACTCATAACTCTGTGTGCTCCTGATGACAATGAAGTGCTTTATTTATTTTAATTTAAAATCAAAGTTATTAATGTATTAAAGTAATGTGAATCACATACATTTGTTTGTTTTTCTTATCCCTTAGGCTGGTCCATTATTCCATGGGTAACATAGGCAGGAAATGGTGTGCAATGGTGCATAAAGTTGTTTTGATAAGACTGTAGGCGAAACGGTGATGTAGGCGATATGAGGACAGGCCGGTGAACAGGCTGGGACTGCCAATCCACTGTGTATATTGCCCCATTAAATACAGATTTCACAAAAACCGTATGTTCGAAACAAACGCACAGAATTTCAGGTGGATATTTACAATGCTCACCCAATATGACCCACGAGAGACTAAAATCTTACAGAAGCAAAACACATGTATCTGTCTCTGCCTCTGAGGAAACATTGAAGAGGAAACATTGAAGAGGTTACATTGAAGAGGTTACATTGGAGAGGTTACATTGAAAACATGAACACCAATAAGAACAAGCAAGTGTTCCTCTTGGGTATCGATAAATACGCAAACTGCTTCATCTTATATAAACATATAACGGTAGTCATAAGTTACTGTATGGAAAGTAGTACACATGCGGTTAGTCTGTCATACAACCCTGAAACAAATATACCCAGTGTAGCCCATGCAAGTCTAGAATGTGTGGCAAGTGTAGATCGGGTCTAGGACAATTGCCACCCGGACAATTGCCACCAGGCAAGTCAGTTGTTGGTATAACATGTCTATTATCTAACTTTTGTTATAGTAGAAAAGATAACATTTATAAACTTTGCTAGGTTTAAAAAAAACAGTAAAATCTGAGGTAGTTAACAAAATTCATCAAAGTCAAATTTACTTCAATGTTAAAAGTTGATCAAAGTCAGATAATAACCTGCATTCATGTTCTCAAATAAAATTACGGGCAATTCTGGATGGCAATTGTCCTCACTATTATAGTAAAAATAACTGGGTGGCAATTGTCCTGGGTAACAATTGTCCTAGGGGGCAATTGTCCTAGGTGGCAGTTGTCCTAGGGGGCAATTGTCCTAGGTGGCAGTTGTCCGGGTGGCAATTGTCCTTCTCCCGTTTAGATTACCACAGTTTCAGGAAAATGAAGAGAGTCTCTGGGCTCCCTTTTATTGTTTTTTATTTTAATGTAAATCTTCTTTTTCTTTCTATATAATATGCTCACTTCGGAGAATATCTGTTAGTCTAATGTGCGGCCTGGACCCTGGTCCATCTTTTCGCCATGTAAGTTACATCGACGGGAGCTTCTCTTTACCTATTGATGCTGCATGACACCTCATTCTGGACTGACCGGAAATGTACGTCTTTACACATAGTCTATCACACCGACATCAAGGACACAACGGCTTTGGGATACACACGTGTTGTAGATAAGACGACACACAACCACTAAGTGAATGAAGGCTGACGTGACGTACTCTCGATCGTCGAGGGCTGAAGAAGGACTGAAGGACTTAACAGATATATTTGTTATCTTACACACAGCAAAATAATTCACGTGAACGTTCCAGATATTCATTACGTACATGCCCATTGAAGCAGAAATGATACACGCCGACACTCGCGTATACAGCCACGCGTTTAGTCCACACAGTATCGGAGTCACATGCTGTGTGGGTGGGGTTGGGGGTGGTATCCGAGCGAGACAGGTACGAGTCAGCTGCTTGACAATGTCCACTGTACGACACGTGACCACTGCAATGGACAAGACTCTACCTGTCCCAGGTGTTCTATTTTCCATCTCAAGTAGGCCGTGTGACACCGTGAGACCACGAGGATGGGACGACGTAGTTGACGGACCCTGTCGTCGTTGGGTGGACGTAGATGTGAAGGAGGGACACAGACAGTGGAGGGTGGGGAAGGGGGAGGGGAGCGAGTGGGAGGAAAAGACATAAAGGGACAATAACTTTCAATATCTAACCCGATGGTGTTATCAAATCTCATACTGTAGTAACACATATTTATTCAGTATAAGATAGAAACTTATTGATCCACAATAAATTGGTCGTTTGTTTGTCGGACTGATCCATCCAAGTTTTAAATTGATATCTGATTGTAGTAGAATATATAAGTCGCATTTTGCTATTTCTATAGCTACACTATGACCCCCATACGATAAATAGAAATAACGTCCAAATTCATTACTGTCTGCTCACGTGTAACTGTCATGATAGATGCAATAAGTGGCACATGGTTGCTTGTTGTTTATTTGTTGTTTAACCCTCCCGTTTGCAATAATCAAATAATATCCGGGTTTGTTGTTAACTGAGCCGGAATCAGACAAATTTGTGATTGACATTGTGATGATCAGATAAACCAGTGGTTGACATTGTGATGATCAGATAAACCAGTGGTTGACATTGTGATGATCAGATAAACCAGTGATTGACATTGTGATGATCAGGTAAACCAGTGGTTGACATTGCGAGCAACAATGGCGCTGTTTGGGTACGACGTGCTTATACATGTGTATTTCATACACAAATGTCTACTTCCCCGTGAGGAAAGGTATTGCTTTGATATGCATGTATCGTAGTCTCTAACTGCAACAAGATCAGCTGTGTTCAGACGTACATGCTTTGTCCTGTTAACAATATTGCTGTACATTAGATGCTTGTCGTCAGAGGCGATTAACGGGATCGGGTGGTCGGGTTAACACATGTCATCGTATCCCAATTTCGTTGATCGATGCTCATGCTGTTTATCACTGGATTGTCTGATCCAGACTGGATTAGTTACAGACCGCCGCCATATAGCTGGAATATTGCTGAGTGCGGCGTTAAACAACAAACAAAGAAACAAAGTTATCATGGCAGGTGAAACCTACGTCGTTTGTACTTTTGAAATAGAAATACAGCGAGGGGTTTAAGAAAAGTAGGACACGTCATTAAATATATAAGCTGTACCACTCACTCACTGTACATTAGGTTAGAGTTAAATGGTCTGTCTGTCTGTCGACCAGCCGGACAGGTGAAGCAGCCGGGCACGTGAAGCACACGGTCGATATACTAAACTCAAAGATGTCCTACTTGTCCCGGGCATAGGTTGACGAACACATGTAGAATGTATACGACAATAATAGAATAGAATTGACGAAAACGTACATTGTCAAAAAATAAATTACACGAGGAAATAACAAAAGTCTCAAAAGCTGACAGCGGCTATAAATAAACCACCCATACATTACGCGAATTCTTCAGACCGAGTTAAAACGACCGTACGATTTTTGACACGCCCCCTAGGTAATTACAGGTAGTCCAGGTGTGATACCCCGCTTTATTTAGCTATGGGTTGGTATTTGCCCGATAAATCCAAACTTCAAAGCTAATAAGTATTTCTTGAATAGACGAAACTGACACTACCACCCAAGATTCAGATGAGACTTTCATGTTAGCAATCACTTGCAACCTTAATTAATTTTGAGTGGTATAAAAGACTCAGTCACAAAACCCAGTCGCGAGTGAAATCACAACCATAAAAAGCTTAATTTTACGATGTACTATAATAAAGACGACACATTTAGCAATTTCCTCCACCTGTGCTCTTTTTCAGTCATTCATTTCAGTTGTGTGATCCATCTCAAAATGTATTAGTTCGAGGCGTGTACAAAACTCTTCATAGAAAGAAGTTCGTGATAACATACATGTAGGTATAATGTACATGTCTTTGTTAGATTTAGCAGAGCATCTGAGAAATACAGTCTCTATTAACTACCATGGGAAGTGGGGCGGTGGGGTAGCTCAGTGGTTGAGGCGTTCGCTAGTCACGCCAAAGACCCGGGTTCGATTCCCCACATGGGTACATTGTGTGAAGTCCATTTCTGGGGTCCCCCGCCGTGATATTGCTGGAATATTTCTAAAAGCGTTGTACAACTCATTCACTCACTCAAGTGTGAAGTCCGTTTCTGGGGTCTCCCGTCGTGATTTTGCTGGAATATTTCTAAAAGTGTTGTACAACTCACTCACTCACTCACTCGGCCACCCACTCACCCACCCACCAAGGGAAGTAGTCAGCATCATTGACCGGAATATCTTTCTTCATTCCAGTCTTTTCTTTTGTCTCTTTCTTTGAATGCATCATTTGAAAAAAATAAGGAACGGCGTGAACAGTCAGTGAACTGGCATTTCAACCACGTGATTCATGTAACCGCGATAAGTAATTTTATATTTTACTTCTGGGTAGGATTACTTGTGGGTAGGATCGCGGATATACATGCAACCATGTTGCAGATACACGCCAATGTTTCGTGGGACATAACACGCGCTATGAGATGTAATCTCTGTCTCACTATCGTCACATTTCACTTAAATAGAAGAACAAGATGAAAAGTTTAAAGATATTTGATCGTTTTCAATCCTTTTTAAAGACTTTTTAGAAATGTATACTCGTTGCGGAGAGTGTGGGGAATGCATGATCTGGGTAAAGGTTTACCCTTGTTTGTGTTTTTAAGAAGAAAAAGAAAAAAAGAATAGTATTTTATTAGGGTGTCACTTGTCCTATTTACTAGATATTCAACATGGAGTTAGTTTATGTCATGTATAAAAAACTCCCTAGAAAACACACTGATAGTTTAGAGGATGAGTCAGATATATATGTGTGTGCATGTTGATATTTATGTGTATGCATATACATGTATGTATGTGTGCGCATGTGTGTCTACATGTGTGTGTGTGTGTGTGCGTGTGTGTGCATGCATGTATATTTGCAGGGAGGGAGAGGGAACAAGGGAGGGATGTCATTGTTCTGTATCCGACCCTGAATGGCATCCCATTGAATGACCAGGCTTGAACCAGCATCCAATTGAATGTCCAGGATGGAACTAGCATCCCGTTAAATGACCAGGCTAGAACTGCCATCCCATTGAATGGCCAGGCTGGAACTGGCATCCTATTGAATGACCAGGCTGAAACTGGCATCCCATTGAATCTCCAGGATG